CTGGAACCAGCCAGTGCTTGCAACAAATTCTTGACTGTAATCTTCTCCAGCACGCACCTTCAGAGTCTGAAATAGACTCCTCGCCTTCATCTGCACAGTAAAAAGACTTAATGGTGTCCGTTTTTGAATTTGATCTTCCATCCAAATATATAGCAATTTCTCCATTTCGTGGATGGGCCTGCTTCATTGCTTTGTTATAACTGTTGATTGCATGGGTGCAGAACCTTTCACAGCTTCACAAATTCTTTATCTTTCAAAATCGTCAACACAAGTCGAGTGTGATAACTTCGTATCACGTGCGATCACATTCACTTTCTTTCCTCCTTCGTACTGCTTAATTACCTTCATTTTCATGTTGAGATCAATGGCCTTTCTTTCCTTCTTGGCAGACCGAGGCATAGACAAAGACAATTTCCTCTTGATAGACATCTTGGGAGGGGTTTGATGAAAAATATCCAAGACACAAAACATAAATTGCTGTACCGAGTCTGGGATAACAGTTGAAATGGTGCACGCGGAGATGGTAGTGCTGCTGGAAGCTGGTCCGCACTGTTGTACGCCCAGCTGGGCAACGTTTCCACTGCCAGACGCGGAGCAGTCATGGCTAGCAATTGTGGTCGTAAAGTCGAATGTTCGTAAGTGGCATAGGTCGTAAGTTGATCAATACCTGTATCTTAATTAACTTAAACATTTCTTTTTTTTTTTCTTCTTCAATGTTCAGTTTCCTTTAATGACCCCCAGCTCCCTGAAGGGCAGGTGCAGGCAGCGAGGTGATAGCAAGAGATGTTCACTTGAAGATCTTGCCCTGATTGAAGGCTTTGCCCACATGCTGGAAGGCCCCCTCCCAGGAGAAGTACTCTCGAACCAGCGTCTGGGCCTCCTCACTGCCAGGATCCAGTTTCCACCATGTGTATGACTTGCAGTCCACCTGCCAATCTGGACTCAGCGGAAAGGCAAGCTCCTGGCCTCAGAAGACCCAGACTCCAGATATGGAGCTGCTATTGTTGGTTCCAAAGAGGATGATACTGGCAAAGGCATTCTTCCTCAGCTTGTCCAGTTGCTGGAACATTCCAGTGATGAGATTGCAGCTCATGAAGGTCTGAGTGAGTTCTTCAGGGAAGCGATACTCTGAGTACCACAGGCACCAGCCATCCTTATCAAAATGCTCCCAGAAATATGGCAGTGCCACAGAGAGTCTGTCCTCATTGGAGTACTTGCGCTTAAATTCATCCAACACAAAGGTACTCTTGGGCAGGTGAGCAAAGGTGTCTTTGGCCTTGGGCTCAGCAGCCAGCGCCTGCTCACATTCATCCATCTTCTCCTCAGGAGCAGGGGCAGCTGCCTTTTTCTCCTCCTTCTGCTCAGCCTGGGGCTTCTGCTTCTCTTCCTGTGAACCCTTCTCTTTCCGTGGTGTGTCCCTTTTAGGTTGGCTCTCTGCAAACTTTTTAGCATCAAACTGGGCCATCTTCTCACACAGTTTCACTTCCCCCAAGACAGCCCGGAACTGGGGCTGGTTAATGCAGGTGAGGAACAAGCGGTTGGTATTGGGAAAGGCCTGGCAGAAAGAAGGCTCTAGGACCTGTTTATAAAGCCACAACAAAATGCAGACAACTGTGATGTCAGCCAATGTCACTTGTTTGCCCGCCATAAAAGTCTTCATCTTCAAGTGAGCATCCAGCAGCCCCAGAATTCACCTCATTTCCTCCTTTGCATTCTCAGTGGCCTGTTTGTTGTGGTGCATGATGCCCAAGGTGGGGAACACCCAGGTACTGGCTGGGGGTACTATGTCACTATCAGCAAAGCTCACCCAATGCACCACCTGGGCTGCTGCCTCTGGAGTACTTCCCTGCAGCTCCTCATTGCTCACATAGTAGGCAATGGCATTGCTCTCAAACACACAGAATCCATCGTCACCCTCAAATGCTGGAAACTTGCCGGCAGGAAATTTGCGAAGAAATTCAGGGATGCGGTTGGTTTGGCCAAAGTGGAAGTGGGGTGGTGCAGACAGCACGTGGACCTGAGCCCCGCTGTACTGAGCAGCAATGAGGGCCTTAAAGGCCCTCCAGTTTTCAGGATACGTGTACAGGGTCCCAGCCGCCATGGTGATTCCACAAAGAAAGGGGCAACTTAAATATTTCTAACACTGTGAGCATTCATGAAAACAGGTCCATCTATGTTGTGAAGTAATGGGATAATATGACAGTGTATAAAGCTTGAATGAAAATATCAAATAAGGCCTTAGAAGACAACTGTAACATGCTTATTACAGATACATCACTAAAAAATTGTCTGGGTTAAGATCATTAATGATATTGAAATTAAACTTTGATTTACACTTTAATATAGGTCCTAAATTTGGATTAATATAATAGAGTGATCACAAATTTATTTCCTCTCCCTCTAGACATCCTATTAGTCACAAAATAAAGGTGACACACAGCACCAGGAGAGAAGGTTGAAAAGGGGTAATTTTTAATAAATGCTGAGACATAAAAAGTAGATAAAGGAGTGGTAAATAACACAAAAGCACAACTATGATGCCTAAACAAAGAGACTGGAGGCTGGGTGAGGAGGTTCACGCCTATAGTCCTACCACTTAGGGAGGCCAAGGAGTTCAAGACCAGCTTAGCCAAGATGGTGAAACCCCATCTCTACTAAAAATACAAAAATCCGCTGGTTGTGATGGCAGGTGCCTGCAATCCCAGCTACTCAGGAGGCTGAGACAGAGAATTGCTTGAACCCAGGAGGCGGAGGTTGCAGTGAGCTGAGATCTCACCATTGCACTCCAGCCTGGGAGACACAGAGGAGACGCTTGTCTCAAAAAGAAAAAAAAAAAAGGGGGGGGAAAGTGACTGCAACAGAAGTGAGCAGTTTGTCTTGCAGAACTAAAGGTGGGCTGTGAACTTAGAGGCAAATAGCACTTTGAAAAGTAGTGCAAAATGTAAAACAAAGCCACCAAGGTCAGTTGAAAATCTGTGGTTAGAGACTCACATCACCTGTCTCCCATCTGATAAGAAACTTAGATGTGTGTTCCCTGGATATACCAAACCTGAGAATTTCTGGCTCCCAACTACCATAGATTAAACCTGAGATATAAAGAAAACTATACACCAAAAATGGAACTCCAACTTTCTTCCCTGACTCTGCTTTTGGAAAGCAAGTAGCCAGGCAGAAACTTGGGAGAACACTCTCAAGAAACTAAACTGTCTCGAATAAAGATCCCCAGGTAATACACCGAGGTCTCCCAAATGTAAAGCTAGTTGCTTCTACAACCTCACACTGAGTGCCATCAGTTAACAGAAGTCCTGCTTCCAAATCAAGCAAGCAAGCCAGGGACCACTACACATTGGAGAAAAGCCTCCAACAAGAGATTGAAACAACACACACAAAATTCATGGGACCAGTCAAAATCAGGAGCAAAACTTTTTTTAAAATGTTAAAACACTTTAAAAAAATACATAAAATTCAATAGATATAGTAGAGGATAAACTCATAGCATATCCCAGACGTAGAATAAAAAGACAAACTGAAAAAACTTGAAGGGGAAAAATTGGAAACCAAAGCAGGTCTACTGGTCTAAGCAGCCTAGCGCCTGAATAACATGACTATCAGAAAAAAGGAACAGAGAAAATAAAAAACATTCTCAAAAAGAGAGAGTCTGCAGACTTAGTAGCCTCAGTAAAATGAAAAGATCCCCCGCCAAGCTGTTATTATGAAATTTCAGAATCTCAGAGACAGAAAAGCTCTGAAAAAGCTTCCAAAAATACATAAAACGCGGTTATAAATAACGTGTCACACAATGGCAATAGATTCAAGAACAACACTGTGACGAGAGCACAATTGCAGAATATCTTCAGAACCATAAAATTTAGATTCAACCTAGAAGTTTACTCTCTAACAAGGAAGAAGAATTTTAAGACTGGTCAGATCTCTAAACATCTCTGTCCAGAAAAGTGTGCTTAAGTACAACCAGAGAGGATAACAGGACAGAAGGAAACACAGAATCTAGGCGATCCCTCACAAGGCAGCAGTTATGTGAGATCCCAAAAGACTTTAAAGAGATAGCACAGATAGACTAAGACATCAAGCATATCTAGGGAAAGCCACTCTATACTGAACTAGGATGACAAAAGGCCAAAGAAAGGCTGCCCACCATCTGACAAAAACAAAGAGGAACAGATATGTTTTAGCAGATGGAAAATATCTTTGAAAGGCATGTGATAAATGCTACAACACTTGAGGGGGAGGGATCCGCTGTTAGAAAACAGGCAAATGAATATAGTCAGAAAATTAGCTTCACGCTAAAAAATAATGGCTGTGAAATGTAAATTATATGTAAAATATAACTTAACAATAATTATTATTTTTCAATAAAGTGACAGACCATCCAGAGTCTACTTACTGCATTTGGCTGGATAAACCAGCATAGGCTAGGAAAAAAAAGATGATGCAGAAGAAATGCGGAAGTGCTCAGATTTCAGAAGGATGAAGGAATATGTAATGAAGAGACACAGTGAAAACAACATATAACTCATCAGTGAATAATATTTGGATAGTCATAATCATGTCAATATTACTGATTGAATTAAAAAGTGTGCTACAATTGAAAGAAACAGAGGGAGAAAAATAAGGTCATGGTTAGCAAGAAAGATACGCTTTCACCTGCTGTGACAGAGGGCCAATAGACCATACTGACAACTAACTTAGCTCTTCTGTTTTTGTTATTTCATTAAAAATAAGATTAAATATTTAAAGCAGATCTTTATACCACAACCAACTATTGAAATTTAACTTGAGTGTCAGCAATCCTTAAAAGGTGGGCACACTATGCTGAAGACTTTTCCGGATAAATTTGATAGGAAAGTAGAAGAGATTCAGAAAATCCATGAAATGAGGTCCATCCTATCACCACTGGGTCCCCATTATAATTTAAAGGAATCAAGAGAGACATACTTTTACATCAAACTACCAATTTCTCAACTTTTTGACGGTTTACTTACATGGTTTGTACCGCTGTTTTCTTCTATTTCTTTTGCTGAGAATGAAAGAAAAAAAACCGATCACTTCTCACACAAATAATATAAAATAAAAGTAGTTGTTAACATCTTACCGACTACTCCTATGTGCAATCAGAGAAAACTCCATTTAAAAAAATTAATTTCAATAATTTATAATTTAAATTCTCTGGCATGATAAATCTCATAAAGTAAAATGTAAAAACTTAGATTTTTGACATAGTTTACTTTCCGCTTTTATTACATACGAGTGAAATCATACTCATGTACAAAAGGGCACAAAAATTAGGCCAGATGAAAAATTTAGCTAATAAAAAATTTAATTGTTGCATATATGAGCCATGATCCGTTAGTATTCTCCCATTCCGCATTTACACGTAGCTTAATTACCGGAATCTAAGAGCTAACAACTCTAAGAACTGCTTCCTGGCCAGGCACCTATCTCTAGATGCACCAGAATCCCTGTAAGCCTCTCCAACCACAATCAGTGGTCATCTACTAACATGTCGCTGGAAACAAAACAAACAAAAACAGGGTCTTTACACAACTGAAAAGTAACCTATCTTAAATTTAATCTTTTGTTTGTTTGTTTGTTCTTTTTTGTTTTTTGATAGGGCTGGAATGCAATGGTGTGACCTTGGCTTACTGCAACCTCCGCCTCCAGGGTTCAAACAATTCTCCTGCCTCAGCCTCTGAGTAACTGGGATTAGAGGTGCACCCCACCATGCCTGGCTAGTTTTTGTTTTAATAGAGATGGAGTTTCAGCATTTTGGTCAGGCTGGTCTCGAACTCCTGACATCATCATGCACCCACCTTCACCTCCCAAAGTGCTGGGACTACAGGCATAAGCCACCACACCCGGCCAAATTTAAATCTTAAAATAAGTAGACAAACCTAATTTGGACATGGTGTCTGCAGCAAAAAAAAAAAAAGCCAGAATAATAAAAGCTCCAAGAGGGACTTGGGCCATGCTTTATTTCCTACACTGCCTCCACCTTTAATGCTGGAAGGGCCTTGTAGGCAAACATTCAAAATGGTACCCTTAATGCTGAGGACAGGGCCTAATGAGAAGTGTTTGGGTAACAGCGGAGCATTCCTTATGAATGCCTTGGTGCCATTCCTATGGTAAGAAGCAGATTCCTCAGATTCTCATTCTGGTATTAAACCAATATGAGTTTTTCTTTTTGTTTATTTGCAGAAAACTGATTTATTTAGAGAGAGAGAGAGAGAGAGAGAGAGAGAGAGAAACAGAGAAGAGAGAAGGCTTCTCCGAGAGAGTGTGTGGAAGCGGGACCCCAGAGGGGAAATCCAGGAGGGGAAAGAGACCTCCCACTGTGTCAGATAATATGAGTTTTTCTAAATACTTTTTATAATACATCTGATCAAACAAGATTTTTCAATCTTTTTCTTGGCAGAAAAAACAATGTTGTCTCACTATCTGTTTGGGATTTCCTTGCTTCAGAAGGGTTAGACTCTAATGCCATATCTATACAGAGAGAAAAGAAAAAATATGTAATCGCTTATAACAATTTATCAACTCATTTATTTGAAAAGGAAGCCATTTCACTACCTCTACTTTTATTCTTATCCATTGGGAAGAGGGACAAAGAATTAAACATAAAGATAAATCTAAGACTCCTCCATTACATGACAAATTGTGCTGATAAAAAGATGGGAAAATGTATAAACAAAAAGTTGACATGTTTTCACTAACATAACTAAAGGAAAGTATATCACGTGTTAAAATAACACAAGCGAATATGTGAAAATTTAAAAAATTTAAACCAATATGAGTTTTGCTAAACATTTTCTACACGTCATCAAACAAGAGTTTTCACTCTTTTTCTTGGTGGAAAAAAACAATGTTATCTCACCATCTGCTTCAGATTTCTTTGCTTCTGGATGATCAGAAGGGTTGGACTCCAAAGCCCTATCTATATCGAGAGAAAAGAAAAAAAGATGTGATCATTATAACAATTTATCAGCTCATTTATTCTACAAGGAGGCTATTTTAATACCTCTACTTTTATTCTTATCCATTGAAATGAATGTATAGACGAGGCCAGACAAGGTGGCACATGACTGTACTCCCAGCTACTCAGGAGGATGAGATAAGAAAATCCCTCGAACCCAAGTCAGGAATTTAGGCCAGCATGAGTAACATAGTGAGACTTTTTCATTTAAAAAAAAGAAAGAGGTAAATGTTCCCTTTGAGTTGTGTGAAATCAACTTTACATAAAATAAATCAAGATGGCAATACATTTCAAAAGAGAGGCCTATTTAATAGACAAAATATAAGATGTATTCTGGAGTTAAAAAATTTTTTTAAATGTAAATTCAGCATATTTGTCACTTCCATGTCATTCTGAAGACACAGAACCTTAGTTCTGTTGAGCAGCTGTCCTCAATAGTCATGTGAGATCTCTGTCTTCATTTCTTCATTAGGAATACATACAGAGAACATATGTATGTTCTTTTTATTGGAAGCCTTCTTTGTATTGAAAGGGGCCAAAACAGACATACATAAACTGTATTGTAATCCTAAAGAATAGCAATAAAGAGCCTTTTTTATTCTCGAATCCAATACCACCCATCTATGAACTGTTGTGTAAAATCACTCACAAGCTTTCCTTACACCAGCAACCAGAGTATACGTTTACACAAGTACTTACACATTTTGTGTATAAAGGTATAATCAATTCACATAATATATTTGTTTATTCAAAATTCTTAAACATCTTGCAAAGTGAGTATTGTACTCCAAGTTACAAAGTCACATTCATCATGAGTCTTAATTATTCTACCCCTGGAAAAAACTAAGAACCCAACCAATGTTTTTTTTTGTTTTTTGTTTTTCTTTTTTTTACTTTAAGTTCTGAGATACATGTGCAGAACGTGCAGCTTTGTTACATATGTATACATGTGCCCTGGTGGTTTGCTGCACCTATAAACACATCATCGAGGTTTTAAACCCCACATGCATTAGGTATTCATCCTAATCTTCTCCATCCCCTTACACCCCACCCCACAACGAACACCCCAGCGTGTGATGTTCCCCTCCCTGTGTCCATATGTTCTCGTTATTCAACTACCACTTATGAGAGAGAATATGTGAGGTTTGGTTTTTGTTCCCGTGTTAGTTTGCTGAGAATGATGGCTTCCAGCTTCTTACGCTTTACTTTCTTATATTTGAACAAGATGCTATTGTCAGGTGGGGGAAGGACAAAGGGAGAGCCATGGCAGCAAACACTCTCCACAGTTTTAACCTTCAATCTTCATGTTACACGTTAAAAGTCTACACTGACATTCCATTTCTTTTGAAAGTTTGACCACGAACCATCCCTACCTCTCTTTTAGAACAAGGAGGTAAATAAAGTCTGTTAAGTCACCAGAATAAATCTAGAGACATTTTGTGTTAAAGTAAGAATTTTAAAGTCATCAGAGCCTCATAGGTAAACTCCTTTGGGGGAAAACAAACACCCATTTTCCTGCAGCCCTGGCCATGACATTTCACACCTTTCACAATTACTTTAAGCGCCCTTCCATTTTCTTTCCTTTTGTGTTCAAATTACAGTTAGAAAACAATAAGCACCTATCAAGGTGACTTAAAGCAACCCATCAAGAATATCCTATCATCTCTCCCACGGCAACCTTCATTCGGATTTCAAAGAAGAAATCCCCAAATACTTCAGTATGAATTGTCCTGAGATTTAGCTACTTTAACGAAGGAAATAGGCACTTACCTGGTTCCTTCACTTAGGTACCATCTGGATAGGTACAAAAAAAGAATGAGATGGGTACTGGAAAGTTGCAGTATTTGAGTTTTCATTGATAAAAGGAAGAGAATATTCCAAAAAAGCCTTCAACAAAATCCCACAGAATAATAAAGAGAGCTATAGACAAGAAGAGACATAAATATATGGTCCTGGGCCAGCCTGAGAGAATGAGATGAGGGAGCAAGAACTGGGTGTTTGGGAGGGGGGGGAGAAAAGAAATTGACTGGACTCCATGGAGAAAGACTAAGCGGTGGAAAAAGGAATGCAAGGCAGAGCCAGTCTTTGCTTCTGACCAGCCCTGGAAAAGCTGGCTACAGGCAAAAAGGAGCCTGAGGTAGGGGATGCCCCCTAGGGAACCTTGAAGACACCAGCAGCCAGAGGGGTGGCCAGGGCAGATGGCACTGTCACCTCCTTACCTTCAGGCATCTCCCCATCACAGATGTCGTGCACAGGACGGACCTCACCAGCTTCAACAGTCAACTCGGCAGGTTCTACAGCAGCAGCCGTGGGCGCTGCTGCTGTGGTGTCCTCATCTGCTGTTGTGTCCTCAGCTGCTGCCGTGTCCTCATCTGCTGCCGTGTCCTCGGCTGCTGCCGTGTCCTCATCTGCTGTTGTGTCCTCATCTGCTGTCGTGTCCTCATCTGCTGCCGTGTCCTCAGCTGCTGTCGTGTCCTCGGCTGCTGCCATGTCTTCGGCTGCTGTCGTGTCCTCAGCTGCTAATCAGGAGGACACCCTGACCCCTCATCCTGGTCCGACTCTTGGCAGACTTTGGGGTATACACAGCAGCTCACTTTGTTCCCCATGGGGCGCCTCTACTGTCTGCTGCCACCTGTGCCTCCGCTCACAGTGTTGTTCAGGCACTCCTGCTGCCCTAGGCCGAGGCTATGCCACACTTTCAGAGATGGTCTTGCCGACGGCTAACCTGGCCACCCCACAGCCTGGCCCCAGGCAGGGCTCGGGCCAAGGCCCGCACCCTGCCGCCTCTCCTGAGTTGACTTGTCTGGGAGGGTCAAAAACAGATGGCTAATTTAATAGGTTGGAAACCCAACAAGCGCTGAGAGATACAACTGCCTGAATCTCGAGAGTACAAAAGGAGCTGCTCCTCCTTCTGCAGTCACCCACAGACTGAAGCCCACTGGCCCAGGTGGAAGCCCAGGCACGTGACTCACAATGCCCTGCCCCACACCTCACAATGCCCCAGGCTTGCTGCCACCCCTCCCCCGCTGCCCCACCCTGTGGCTTATGATGCCACTGCTCTCCTGGCCCCTCCTTCAGTGCCAGTGGAACTAAGGTTTTCATTCATCAACACCAGCTTCCTGAGCTTTTTAGTCCTAAAAACAGGGTGGCTCATTACTAGAAGCCATCTTCCTCTAGGAGTTCTATACAAAGTGGCAGTTAGCAGAGTGGGTCCCATTAGCAACCAAGTTGAACTTTTGTTGACTCAATGTAGATACACCTGAAATATTCCTCTCCTGTCTTCCAATGAGTGGTAGTTTTTGTCTGCGACTTGACCACAGCAATCCCCGGGGCCCTAGCTCTACTCTCACTAAAGAGTTATGGCTGTGCGTCTTGAATGACACCTTAGAACCCATCCTGCCTCCAGCTTCTCCATAAAATAGAAACCTAACTTGTCCCCCCAAGCTCTAAAGTGCTGAAACTTACCAACTTCCTTTTTTCCCGTTTCTTCCTTTGATGGCAGGGACTTTCAGATTTTCTATCTTTTACTAACAAAGCACTAAGCATGACTTTGTTATACAAAATCAAGAGCCGTAAAGTGGGTTACCACAGTCCTAACTCAATAAAAATGAATACTGAACACCTAGCAAGCAGTATGTGCCTGATAGTGTTCCAAGTGGGCCATGCTCATTTAGCCCTCAGAAATAATCTCACCAGTTTTAGAGAAGACATTAAGATGGAGAAGGTAAGTTATCTCCCCAAGGTCATATGACTGCCCAGGCTGGGGCCATTATATGATCTCAGGTACTATGAATTCCCCAATTCCTCAAGCGTGATTATCAGAAAATGTATTATTCCATTTTCACACTGCTATAAAGAAATACCTGAGGTTGGGTAATTTATAAAGGAAAGAAGTTTAATTGACGCACATTCCACATGGCTGTGGAGGCCTAAGGAAACTTACAATCACAGCAGAATGGGAAGCAGTTACTTCTTACATGGCGGCAGGCCAAAGAGTGTGGGCATGTGAAGAAGCAACTGTCAAACACATATAAAACCATCAGATCTCATGAGAACTCACTCACTATCACAAGAACAGCATGAGGGAAACTGCCCCCATGATCCAATTATCTCCCACTGGGTTCCTCCCACAACATGTGGGGATTATAAGAATTACAACTCAAGATAAGATTTGGGTGGGGACATGACCAAACCGTATCAGAAAGTACAAGTAAGTCAAGCTTGGAGGGGAAGTGACATTATAGACTGGCATTTTTTATATATATATATGTATTTTTTTGATGTGAATTTTAAAATGCCTCCTGTTCATTCAGCATTGATGAAGTCCCTTCTACATGCCAGACACCGTATGTGTGAAACAGTTCCAATCTCAAGGAGGGTAGGCAGATACACAAAGGCTTAAGTTCTGTTTTGTGAGACAATATTACTGAACAGCGTATGAACCTGAGATACAAACCCACCTCTATTTGGCCCCAAATTTGACACTGGGGTAGTTTTAATTTTATTCTGAAAATCTGAGTCATTGAACCATACAAAGGTGAGGAGTCTCTGTCAGATGCGTGTGTAGTGGTCTGTATAATAAGAAAGGACTGAAGGAAGCAACAAGACCAATTAAGAGACTATCTAAAGGAAGACTGATGCTAAAGGCAGTGGCAGTGACAAAAGTGGAGAAAAAATTTTGTGATTACTCGGGAGACAGAATAGGAAGTACTCGGTCATGAGATGTGAAAGCAGGGAAGTAGAGGGAAAAACAGGGCTGCACGGGCTCTGCTGGGGAAGACCCGGTACAGAGAGTTGTACCTTTCTCCTGTCAGAGAATGTAGGAAGAGAAATCGCTAAGGAGGAAAAGGCAGTTTTTTACGTTCAGTGTCACATTAAAATGGAACTTGCTGGTCAAAATTGAATATAAATCACTGTAGGCTAAGTTCGTTTGTGACATCCAAACATATGTTTTCAAAAATAGCACAAATACTAAATACGACCATTAAGAGTAACTGGGGAAATTTCCTAAAATTTACATGCTAAGAATATCACCATTTTTTATTTATTACTTTCATGGAGTAACTCTGAATCTATGGTTATAGCAAATGAGGAATTTACATAAAATAAAGCTAACATTTTAAATTTAAAATTCTATTGTCTTCAGAGAATAGAGAATGCAACTGAAGCCATGGGCATGGAAGTGATTGCCTTGAGAAGTTGTGTATAGTAAGGAGAATTGGAAAGAAAGAAGACCTGGAGAATAGAGTGATTTACACGACATTAAGTAAAGCTTGCAAAAGTGAGCACTTGGAGTCAAGAGACCTGCTTAGGAATCAGGAGCGGCTGTTCCTGTGAGTCATTAGAAAGGAGATGATGTCTGATTTCATTTCTGTAACAGCAGCACCTAGCACAGTGCCTGGTCAATAGCTACTCAGTAAGTAACATCCCAATGCACAGAGTCAAATTTTGCTAGGAGGGCATGAAAGCTACAAATCAGCTATGGCAACTTAGTGATTGAGCTTGTGCATGTGTGAGAGTGAGCTACATGTCAGGCAGTGGGTAAAGCAGTGAACTGGAGGTGAGAAAACAATGACACAAACTAAGTGCTTCTCTTTCCAAGTATTTGGCTGAGAAGAGAGATGTAGTAGTAGTTAAACGGAGATATGTGCTACAGAAAGCCTTTTATTTCAAGATTCAGCAAAAGCATGAGTATACTTCTATGTTAAAGGGGAAGAGCCAACAGAGAAAATACATTTTTGAGGTTAGAAGAGAAGGAAGAATGAATGCACAAGAGCCCCCAAAAGGCACAGATGCATGCAATCGCAATCAGGAACAGATTAGCTTTGGAATCCTACAAAAGCAAGAAGGGAGAAAGGGCCATGTGACTCCAGAGATATTTCTCCAGAGGAAAGGTTTAGGAAGGGATCTTTTGATGACCTTTGTATTAACAGACTTTTCAAAAACAAAAACAAAAAAAACTTCATACACTAATAGCTTCCCTAAAAGTGGGTAACTTGAAACACAATTTGAGCAAAAATAACAGAGTTCAATTATAAATAAGGGTATCCAGAAAGTGAAAGATGGGCTTAATTTTTCCCACAAAGAGTTAAGAGAAATAACAACAACTTTAGGGAAAGACGAAAAAATAATTAAGAAGAAAATTATATGCCATTGTAAAACGTATGAATATTTACAAACTCTAACATAAGTAATTACGAAAAGGACCAGAAGAATCATTATTATAGGAAGCAAAGGGTCATTTCAAAAACATGGGAGGGATGATTCCTCTTTAATTCCATTGAAAATATTTCAGTGAAGTCTGAGGACAAAAATAGGCAATATGCTGAAATGTGAAAAACCACAGTGTAAGGAAAAATAATTCAAGAAAGGTCAGTTTCAGTAACCAATGTCAAGTACAATCCTCAGGACCTAGTGGCTACAATCTGCATTAATAGTGTCTGAAAACCTAGAAAGGTCTTTAGATCCCATTTTGGATAATTCTTGTAGACTTGAGATGATGTCTATTTAAAGTTACAAAATAGTTCCTGCACTTAACAACAGACACAATCAAAAATATATCCATGACTTTAAAAATGGAAGAATTTTGAACTTTCTAAACAGGAAATTACTGGGAAAAACTGTTATAAAAACAGATTTTAAAACATTTGGATTTAATGCAATATTGAAGTAAATTAAGAAAACCTCCTATCCGCCCATGACATTGGTAAGTCTGAAAGAGCAAAGAGAAACAAATTAAATTAGTGTGATTTGAATTAATCGGGAGTTTGATTCTGTGAAATGAGCTCAGACCTTGTTTACTTGTGACTCCAGAGTAAACCAATTAATACATCTATTCATTCAATACCCATTTAATACCTGAGCCCTTAGCAAACATGCTGCACACTGTGCGTAAGTACTGGGATATTGCTTGAACTAACGAAAGGTTCTTAGTCTTGTGAAATTTGTCTTCCAGTAAGGGAGTTAACAGACCGTGTTGCCCGTCACCCCTGCCTGCATTACGTAGGATGACTACCGATCTCCAGCTATTGGATCTTCACTCCAGACTACTGTAATGAAAATGAGGGAGAAAAGGAGGAAGTTTTTTTAGAAGGTACTCATAGCACACTGCTTACAAATTATTGGCTTAAAACTTAGTGACATGGCCATACCTAACTGCAGGAGAGGTTCAAAAGACAGAATCCTATAGCTAGGGTAATAAATACAGAAGAAACAATTGAATATGGAAAGGAAATAGCATGCTATTCCACAATTGCTAAAGAAAGATTAGAGAAGTTTCAGCTTAAAGCACGAATAATCGCAATAAAATTTTACAACTCTCTGCAAGCATATATGAAAAACACAAAAAAAGTTTGCAGTTATCTTTTCTTTTTTGTTGTTTTTTTTTTTTTGAGATGGAGTTTCACTCTATCGCCCATGCTGTAGTGCAATGGCACTATCTTGGCTCACTGCAACCTCCACCTCCTGGGTTCAAGCGATTCTCCTGCCTCAACCTCCCCAATAGCTGGGATTACAGGCATCTGCCACCACACCCAGCTAGTTCTGGTATTTTTAGTAGAGACAGGGTTCCACCATGTTGGTCAGGCTGGTCTTGAACTCTTGACTTTGGATGATCCACCTGCCTCAGCCTCACAAAATTCTGGGATTACAGGCGTGAGCCACAGCGCCTGGCCTGCAATGATCTTTTCTTAAGCTAAGAGGATGGGAAAAATGAAAAAAATTAAATTATAAAATAAAACTTTGGTTTAGAGGTAAGAAACATTTTATGACAGCCAAGAGATCAGGGTTGTACTGTATATTATGTGAATGTTGTAGCATAACTTGACATTTTGTAAAAGTTGTTTTTCATGTCAATTTTTTTCAGGTGACTTACAAGGTCCCATCAGAAGTGAATAATAATCTTCCATATTCTTAAGAAATCTTAATGGTGTCATCTACAGTCTTCCATTGTTCAGTTTAGGTAAACCTGGAAATCATGTTAGGGTATTGTTTCATCCAACTTCTGTTGCCCCTTCCCCATCATAAGTCAGGAAGGTCTTGGATATTTTTGCTCTAGCAATTAGTTCATCATGAATCCTGGAGTTCTTTGCTACTCCAGTCATTGGTCCTCCTTTGCCTCCTGTAAGCATAATGAATTCACCACCATTAACCCCTAAACCATATGTAATTTGTATATCTGATTTTACTTCATGAGCAGAAGTTCTATGTATATCCTGTAATTCTTGCTGAGTATAAAACTTATTTTCAGTAGAGACTGTATTTCTGCACTCATGCACCTATATAACTTTCACTGTTATTGCTGGTTGGGCTTTCCAGGGGTCATCATAACCTCCTGGGTTCTCTGGAAGAGGTACATATTTTTCAGGATGACACTGTAATATTTTATTAGCTAAAATTCTTTATCTATCTAAATAGATTGATAGTTCCTACCGTCTTGAGTAACAAGGCTGGTACTTTCTATTTTTCTTAACTCTGTGAGTTAACGTGACCAATGCCTGAGGTTGGGTAACCAGGCCAGTGCCAGACTCTGCCAGAACATTTTTCCTAATACGTTTTTCTATTGCTTTCTATGGATCACTGGGTGTTAATATGGGTTCTGGAATTACAATTTTAAAAACTGTTTTGTGAATGACTAGCAACATAGTTGCCAGAACATTTAATACATTTCTCTATTGCTTTCTATGGGTCACTGGATGTTAATGTGGGTTCTGGAATTGCAATTTTAAAAACTGTTTTGTGCATGACTAGCAAATAGTAATTTACTCTAATTTTCAAATATACTTTGCAAGTGAAATGTGTAGGACTCCAATAAGGCACAATCATCTAGATCCTAAGTATGATGCCTTGGAAGAGGCAAATAGTGACTTGAGCAAGTGCACTCATGTCTGCTTACACCAGTCACTTTTGAATTGCTCAATGGCAGGCAGGGGGAATGACCTCTAGTTGGCAGATGTCCACTCAGTATGACCCTGGATTAGACATATAGTTACCGTCTGTCAGGCCAGCCAGGTGTTGTTGGACTATTCCTTGGAGATACACTCATCAGTGACTGTTAAAGTACCTGAGTTATTAGGTGCCTGTAGACGATGCCCACTGATACGAGCATTGGGTACAAGCTGCCTAGTTGTGCTGACACTGACTGAAGCTGTGAGGTTTCACAGTAACATGGCAGCCAATTATATATACTCAGAGTTACATTTGTCAAGAGGTATTCATTCACACTATCAATTAGGCAATTATCATTCTACACACAGGCAGGAATAAAGGAAGTAAAAAACCACAGTGATGGCTCAAGAGACCAATGTACCTCCAGAAGAATCCAGTGGGTCCAGAAGCCCTTTGGATGATGGTCAGATGCTCCTTTGGGGCAGAGATCATAGCAGCAGCCACCAGGTCTGGAGAAGTCCTTACAGTTCTCATGGACAAAGCTTCTGAAAACATCTTAGACAAGATCTTGTCTCTGTTGGTTTTATGATCCTCTGCAGATGGGTCCATTCTCTTGTTCTCAGCCACCTTCTGCTTCCTATCAGTTCACTTCAGGTCTCTCATGATCTCAGGCAGCAATAATTGTTATCACCTCAGCCCATTCACATGTGTTTATCTCTTTGGGGATGGGGGGACAACTTCACTGTAGGCTTAATTCTACTGGAGATGAGTGACTCCATTTTAAGACATGAGGATCAGAAATTATTATCACATATCATCAGGGCAGAGAACAGCTACCACCTGGGGCTGAAAGCAGATAACTCCATTTGTTCTGGAAACATTCTGTCTTGATTATGGTGCCAGTTACTGTGAGGGACTTCCTTTTCTCCACCTGATTTTTACAAAGTTTGAGTCTGGACTGCTAACATTCTACTGATTTCCAGGTAAAGGGACTGACTACACCATCCCAGCCTGTCAGAGCACTTACCCCAGTACTTCCACTTTAAGAGTTTTCCACCTTGTCCAGAACTGCAGTCCATTAATCCCCCCGTTTTAGCTCTCAGGAGAATGAACAACACATCTCACGTACATACTCACACACCTCTTCCCCCAAATACCAAACAGAGAAATCCAATCTGTCTCTTTCCACCTAAGCAATTTTAGACAGTCACTTTCTAATAATTGCCTTAAGCTCCCTGACTTGCTGCTCGTCCTTTCTCTGGCAAAATCTCATCCCTGGATGAGCCCCACTTTGTGTTGGCTTAGTGACACCACTCAGCTGAACCAGAAAAATATCAAAAAACAGTCACAGGTATGATCACAAATTCAAATTTCTTACACAACAAATTGGCCCTAAATTTTCCAAAAATTAATAAAATGTTTGTGTCTCCAACGACATCTTTTCTATGTTCTTCTAACTTTTTGACCAATCTTTTCTATGTTCTTCCTTTATTCAACTTCTCTCTTCTGATATCTTGCCAAATCAATTAAGGAGAAAAAATATCCCATTAGGTAATAGCCAATCAACTTCCCATCACCTAAGAAAATAATATGCACAGAATGCACCCACCTTATCTTTCTCTCCCTCATCATGTCAGAAAAATCATCCCTCCTTTTCTCACAAGGCAAATCTGAGATAAAAGATTTAGATGGCCTGGAATTCTGGCAATTGGGAAGGCCAATGCAGGCAGATTATTTGAGCCCAGGACTTTGAAACAAGCCTAAGCAACTCAGGGAAATCCCACCTCTAAAACAAATACAGATAAATAATTAGCTGAGCATGGTGGTGTGGTGGCACATGCCTGTAGTCCCAGCTACTGAGGGTGGGGAGCACTGAGGTGGGACGATCACCTGAGCCTGGAAGGTTGAGGCTGTAGTGAGCCGTGATCATACCACTGCACTCGAGGCAGGGCAACGGATATTTTTAAAAGGGTCTTCTCTGTGAAAAAAATAATCAGACAAACAGGTGGCCATGAGGCTCAGGATGGCTCCAGTGCAGTGCGCTCAGTTCCTCCTTAAACAAACCAAAACTTGACTCAGTGTAAATAAAAGGAAACTTAAGCTTAACCAGTCAGAAACCATCAACTAACATCTACCTAGAGACTTTCCACTGTAATGATCCAAATGAGACCACTGTTGCACTTTACCAGATCAAGCATTTTCTTTTTCATCTACATTCACAATGTAAGTCTTCCTCCACCCTCCCAAACCCTCTTTGTTGGAGCTCTGAGTTGCCTGTAGCCGGGGCTGCCTGGTTTTAAATTTCTGAATGCTCAAATATACCTCCTAATGTTTCAGACTGCCTAATTGTATCTTTTAACAGCTCTCATGGTTACATCATTCTTTCTAGATCCTCAAGTTCTATCTCCTTCAGTGGATTGATTCTTCAGTATATTAACATGTTCTCCTCTACCATCGTAAAGACTCTCCTAATATGGGCAGTTTCTTACAAAACTACACATACTCTTACCATGTGATCCAGCAGTTTCACTCCCTAGGTCTTTATTCAAATGACCAGAAAGCTGATGTCCACACAAAACCTGAACACAGATGTTGATAGCAGTTTCTAAAATAGCTACCAAAACGTAGGAAGAACTAAGTTGTCCTTTGGTAGTTTAACTAATAAATAACAATGTGGTATATTTAGAAAATGAAATATTAATCACTTCTAAAAAGAAATGAGCTATTGAGCCATCAGAAGACACTGAGGAAC